TCTGCAACATATTTCTTTAAAAGATACTATGATTTTCAAAATAAAGCACAAATAAATAGATCTTTTCTGGCCGTAAAAATGGGGATGTCACATATATATATATATATATATATATATATATATATATATATTATATATATATATATATATATATTGGTTTGATGATATACTTGTTATAGTACTAGTAACCAGGTTATCGTCTAGTGGAGTGTCCTAAGGAATGTCTGTAGTCATGTAGGATAGCCTGAGAACTCTTGATCTAGGATATCTTTCATGTTCCTTGTTTGGTTGTGGCTCCAGATTATGATCATCTATTCGGGTGGCTTTCTCACCTCTGGTTACTTATGGTTATGATTTGCATGGAGGTTAGCTAGTAGCAAGCAGTGTACTGTGAGAGATCTAGTAGGTGGTAGCGAACTGTTTGATTGATATTGTCTGTATTATGTGTCTACATAATCCTTGTTTGTTTATATGTCACATATGGTAGTGGTTGAGGTTGAGGTAGTCCTGAAGTGTGTTGTAGGCCAAGATACTTGTTGCGGGCCGGCTGCAAGCTGTAGGAATGGAGGCTCGGGAAGAGCGGTTAGGTTGAGGAAGCATGCCAACAAACCCTAGGTATTCCAGTCCGATGACTAATTGGACTCGTTGCATGTTGGCATTCCAGTCTGATGATTGATTGGGCTAGAGTATTCCAATCCGATGATTGTGGGCCTGTTATTCATGCTTGTATGTTTGTTGTATGAGGTATTTTGGGGGAAACTCAGTATATTTTGCGCTCACCTAGTTGTTTATGTTTCAGGTTCTATCAGTGATCGTGGGAATGTGAAGACGGAACTGTACACACTCATCAACAGAATTGATGGTTCCATGTTTATTATAATACTCTAATTTTCAATAAATGTAATTAGGAATAAATTGTTTTTGTTAGAATGGATTTATAATTGGAAAATGTTAGCTTAATGAAAATGAAAATGAAAATGAAAATTTTTTGGTGTGAAAATGGGACGTTACAGTGGAGCATCCTGAAAGTCTAGGAGTGCAACCTTGAAGGTCGATCTCATCTTCAGGATGCTTCACCCCAGATTACAATGCTCCATATTACATCATAATGGTCCATCCTACATTAGAATGCTCCACCTCATTCAGAATGATCCATCATACATCAAAATGATTCATGTCATTCAAAATGATCCATCCTACAACATAATGTTGAACCTCATTCAGAATGATGCATCCTACATCACAATTCTCAACCATTCGCCTATAAGATTCTTCTGGTTTTCTTCTTGCTTTTGTTTTCTTAAGCTAAACATTGTTGTTATTATTATTTGTTTATTTGTTTGTTTGTTTGTTTGTTTGTTTGTTTGTTTGTTGTTGTTGTTGTTGCCGTTGCTATTGATGATGTTGTTGTTGGTGTTGCTATTGATGTTGTTGTCGTTGTTGTTGTTGTGGTCGTTGTTGTCGTCGTCGTTATCGTTGTTGTTGTTGTTGTTTACACTATTATTGCTTTCATTATTGCTTTTCGTTTGGTATTTTTTTCATAAGTTGAATTTTATATAATACACTTTTTTAAAATTAGTTGTTATTATTATTATTATTATTATTATTATTATTATTATTAATTATTATTATAATTTAATTATCTACGTGTGTATGTATATTTATTTAGTTTATTATTTATTTTATTATTTTTGTAATCTTTATTATACTTATTTCAAGTTTAATTATTATTATTATTATTATTATTAATTATTTATATACTCTACTAATAGACATGGTCCTTAAGGATAGTTAAATTGTTGTGCATTAGACATTGGCCATGAATCTTGTATTATTTCACATTTAGTCCCAATGACCACTTTTTTTTATAAGCTTAACACATTGAGACCATAATAGTTTGTAGACATTGCATGTTCTGGTCTCCCCTGGTTCCACCGCCCTTATCGGCCAATAGAATGGTATCGTCCACCATCGTCCTCTTCCAATGAGGACGCACTGCTCTTGCCCTCATTCTCTCTATATCACTTTTTTTGTTATCAATAAACAATATTTGTTCTAGGTTTTTCTAATCCACTCTCTAACCTTACGTCGACTTCCAAAAACTACCATGAATTCAAACGTCGCACACCCCCAACACGACATTGAAGGATGGTGGCCTTTGTTTTTCGTCTTCCTCGTGGCCAGTAATTTTCATAGGAGACTCAGAGGTCGTTGATTGATTTCAACATTGGCAGTTTTCTTGAAGAGGCCACACAGGTTAATTAAAGTCACACGAATTGGAAACCGGACAGAAGTATCACTCGAAGCAGAAGAGTTATGGCAAGAAGGGAGCTTTGAAGGAGTGGATGTGAACGACACCTGCTACAACTAATTGAATATTTGAAACTCTTAGTAATTGCTATTGATGTTCTTTTTCTTTTTCTTTAGTGTCGAATTCATAGGTTTCAACCATGAATTGACTAAGCTCGGGACAATTCTATCGTGTATAAAGAAAATGTATGCTTTAATTTTGTTGTGGAATTCTCAATTTCATAATTTATAGTCGATTCTGCAATAGTGCTATGTAGTAAAATAAGTGAAATTTTGTTTCTATAATCGCATAATAAGAAGTTTTATGTGATATTTGTAATTTATATAATAATCATATTTTAACAACACTTATTTTGACTTATAATTTATATAATAATCTGATATTTTTAATTTCTTCATGTTGTTTTTATAATCTCATTACGTTGTTGTTGTTGTTGTTGTTTATCTAATCGATGAAATACCAGTGATCACATATATGTATATTATCACATATATGTATATGTGTAGGTTCAATAATAAAGATAATAATAATAATAATTGTAACAATACTTATACTCATATTTATAATAGATAGTAATTAGTATCAATGGAATCACTGTTAAAAAATTATTTTTTGATTAACTATAAAGATAATTAATAATAATAATAATAATAATAATAATAATAATAATGTAATTATCATTATAATAGTAATAGATATTGTTATTAAAATAAATAATAGTTAACAACATTAGGAAGAATTAAATTATTTGGTACATAATTATTTTCTTATCAAGTATAAAGATAATTGTACATAATAATAAGAGTAATAATAAAAATATTAATATTAATAATTTTAATAGATATTAATTAATAAGAAGCTGAAAAACTAAAGTAGTGGTAAATAATTATTTTCTTATTAATTCTTCTTATTATTTATAATGTAATTTTGGAAATAAAAATTTGGATTCCTCAGTGATTACCGAAAGAAAACCAACAACTTCTAAAAAAACATTATTATTAATTAAGGGAAAAGGACATAAATGCCCTACGAACTTTTTAGGGTTTATCCGTTGAGTCCTTAAATGGGTCTCTAAACTATGATATGACCTGCTCTTTTAGTCTCTGTCAACCTGTAATAGCCGGTTCAGTAACCTTTTAGACCAAAAAATCTCATATTGTGCCCTTATATAAGCCAAAAAAATATGTTCGGGGATCAATTCGTACAAAAAACACCTCTCATTTTTTTCTAAAGCCAGTTCACACTCGATTCGTATTGATCCCCGAACTTATTTTTTTGGCTTTATAGGGGCACAATGTGAGTTTTTTTTGTCTAAAATGTCACTTAACCGGCTATTACAGGTTGACAGGTACTAAAAGAGCAGGTCATATCGTAGTTTATGGACCCATAAAGCCCGACAGAGACTTTAGAGACTCAACGGGTAAACCCTAGAAAGTCCGTAGGGCATATGTGCCATTTTCCCTTTAATTAAATATCCATCGGTAGTTCCGATAGATTTTCTATGACATGATAATCGGTTGGTATTAATATTGTGTTAGTAATTTAGAATTTCCTATTTGGTCATAAATCCGTTAGAATCCTATTGATATTTTCCGACATAAATTTCCATTCGTAATATTTGTCGGACATAAGGGGCCTTTCTAGTAAGGCTGTAGGGAGTGGTGTCACAGGAACCGCACTCCCTCCTTTGACACATAGGAGCCACATCATTTTTACCACACTTTGTGTGGTTCTTTACCACACCCAGGGAGTGGAAACCATGGTAGAGAAAGAGAGAGGTGAGAGAAAGGAGAAGAGAGAGAAAGACACATAGATAAAGAGAGAGAAGAAAAAGGGTGCGACCATTTCTAGCCGCACTGCGGCCAAAACCGCAGGAAACCGCACACAGGGGGGCGGTGTTTGCGGTCCAGGTGGCAAGGATGCGGCTTGAAACCGTAGTCCACACCCTCCAGCCTAATGTGCCACACAAACACCTTCTCTCACTGATGGTACCGAGCAAAAACATGTCGACCTCGGCATGTTTATGCCTACTCTCTCATTCCTCTTTTTCTTCCATTCTTGCCACTTCTTTGTATTCTCCCTATTCCTTTTATAATTAAGGTGAAAATGTACCACTCCTAGGTGGAAATGAGTCACCACTTCCAAAAGCCTTATATATATAATATTGTATATATGGAGGTCATATTTTTTGATGACCATATACAATAACATGGTTAATCAAGATTAATTAAGAATGAAACCCACATGTTGTGCCTATAATTATCTTACCTGTATTAATTTAAAAAATCACTTGGAATAAAGAAGCCATTGGAATTGGGAATTAAAGCCGCACTTACGAAGTACTGTCCCGTGTGAAGTCGTCTTATTCAATCAATTTTAACTACCAAATTTGAATAGATTCATGATAATATGTGTTTTATTTGTTTTTGTCACATGTGTATTTTACAAAAAAAAAATAAACCTTTTATTTATTTATAATTGAGCATTTACGGAAATGAAGAAATTGGTATATGTATTATGGGAAAAAGTTTATTAATAGAACAACAAGGACCTCGATTTTATGCAAGTTTCAGTTTTATAATCATAATCATCATTAAAATATGGAGAAATTCTTATAAAAATGTACAATACCATGGATTGGAATTGGGAATCACGTGATGTGATTAAGACAAAAACCTACTCCGACCAAGTAATTAATAAACTATAACATAAAACATCTTAATTATAGAGATACTAGACGCTGCAGTAGTTAAAAAATAATATTCCAAAACTTCAGAAAAATAAATAAATAATGGAAGCACCTCAGTTTATTAGAGCTCTCTCACGTCTCAACACATAGGTGATCTTTGGGGAATGCCCTTTCTTCTACTTATGCTTGAGGCCATATCCTCTTCAGAATGAACCGGATTTGATGATATTCTTCCACAAGTGTACAGTCCACTTCTCTTTTTTCTAACAAATTTGGTGCACATCACGCTGATGTTTTCTGAACTCGATGAACCTGAGCATGAGCTCATCGGGTCATCATAATCCATGATGGTCGAATGAGGCGTTTCATTTGTCATATCATCATCTCCATTGTCATTTGGAATGAAGAAATCTGGACCTAGTTGTAAGGAATTGCATACCCTTAAGAATGGTGTGAGGTCTCTATAATGTTTAAGCACAAAGTCCACCTAAAACATTCAAATTCAATTAGGTTCATATATAGTTCAATTTGCATGATGAAATTATACAGTCAAATTTATTTTCCTATAACGTCTTTTCTTGCATTCGTAAGATCGCTATAGTATATGTTCCAAATTGGAGCTAGAGCTTACCTTTAAATATTTGATATAAACAAAGACAATACACATCCCATGTCAAAGTTAATTGTCAATTCACAACACCCTTGATCAAAATCATTAACGAGCAAATTGTAGTATTGTACCAAAGTCATTGGTCAAACATATCTTCTTAATAATGTCACAAACGATTAACGTACTTTTGGTTAACAGAAAACAAAAGATAATTATGTTAACCATACATGCTCTCTATTTCCAAATTAAATGTTATAGTATTAGTTTTAGTACGTTGCAACGTTCATTGCCACAAATACTTTTTAAGTCAAAGTTCTATGAAAAATTCGTCTGTAAGTTGTATAAATACACTCATATAAAAACGAGGGATGCATTTACAATCGAGCATAGCATAATATATAGAATAATCGTCAAAACTCAATGTTAATTATCTTTTTTAAATTTATTGGGATTATAGGTTTTTGCAGAACAAAAACGTCCCATCTATGAGATGCAAGCAAACATTATTATATAGGCATGATGATTGATGACAACACACAACAAAAATATATGACACAAACAAAACTGAGAAAAGCTTTTGAAAATTGAATCAGTTTTTGTGTTTATGTTCTATTTGTGTTTAGTATAAAAAACACCACCCCAAACCGTGTCATGTTAATGTTTCAATTTTGATGTGATATTAATATTTGTTTGTCGTGTTTATCACTTTTTGTATGATTAATTATGTATCAATATTTAATTTATGTTATCTTATTGTCGATTTTTATGTTTGAATTGGATTATTTTGGTGTTATTGCGCTTACTATTTTCCAATGCCGACTAGGAGGCAAAAAGTGAAGGTTAATTATGATATGTTGTATTAACTTCTGGATAATTCCAGTTGCAAGAAAAATTTAAGTTTTGATAATCGATGAATTCTTGAAGATCTAAAGGTTTAATTAATGTACAAAATCTAAATTCTACCATTAGGGTGACAGCTTCTTTTGCCTCCTTCTAGCATCTCGCAAGTAACTTTTAACAAAATCCAACGTTCAAAAAAGATTGTGCATATTAAAAATTACATATACTTGAAATTTTCAGTAACTACAGCCATAAGGAATAAAAGAATTGTAATAATAGAGCATTAATTGTACAATTTTCTTTTTACTTATCATTATTTTCTGTTCCATCTACTTCCTTTCATATTTTTAACGGCCATCAACTTCTTTCATGACAATAAATCAGAAAATAATGATTCCCGTCAAATCATTCGAGTTTGGAATCATGAAAATTGTGCATGCTATTTTAGTTAAAATAGAGGAAATAGGAGCTGAATTACCTTACACCCTAGAGAGCAATGGATGAAAGGTTCTTGAAGGCACCTATCACAAGAAGTACAAAAATTCCCAGAGCCCTTAAGTTGCCTGTTTTGAGGTCTCATCTTGATAAACACCACTTTTGCACTATTGATGGTATAAGCCTAAAAATATTAGGAGCCAAATTAACAAATATTGGATTGAATTATGATGTAAACCCTTCTAATTAATTTTAGCATAGAAAGCTCAATTCTTAATTAATTTCTTCTGTTTTTTTTCCTTTCTAATTATACCTGAACATTTGAGCAGTCAATAAGTCGCTCTAATTCTTCCAGCCTTACCACATCATGATATACATAACGACGAACTTGAAGAAGCCTATGTAATCGATGAAAGTGAACACAGTGTGGGCAGATACTGATGCAACAATCCAAACAACATATATTCTTCTCGTTCTTTTTTAAGTGTTCATGAGTTGAACATGCTGTGAAGAATTTCTGCACGTAGAGAGCTTCTAACCAGGCCGGCTTGCGATTTCCCTGCAATCATAGAGTATAATACACAACTCATACAAACTTTCAATAATGAAAAAACATAGAAACACATAAGCAATTAAAAATAACAGGAATTGAGAAAACTTTTATATATATATAAAAACTTCTATATCTTTATACCATGATCACATAAACTGTAGTTCTAGCAATAGTTATACGAAGAATAGTGTTGAGCAAAAGAAAGAAGTGATAAGAGGGTGAGTATTTATTACAGGAAGTGTGTGTGTGGTGTGTGTGTATATATATATATATATATATATATATATATATATATATATATATATATATATTCAATTCAAGATCTTTTACAAACGCATAATTTCACAATAACAAGAACACTTTTATTTCTAAAATTTCATAACAAGAATACTTTTTTTCTAAAAATTTCTGTTAGAAGATATTTATTCACCTCTAAAATGCTTAAATAAATTAGTTTTGTTGCAAAAAAATGATACATACCTTGTGCAAGTTCCAAAAAATTATGTTTTTTTTTTCGAAATATTTTAGACAAAAATTCTTATTCATAAACATTTTAGAGGTATATAACTTTTTTTGAAAAAAATGTGTGAAAAGTAATTCTTATATATTTTCAAAATATCCAAATGTGCAAATACATACATGTATGTATATCTTATATATTTTCAAAATATCCAAATGTGCAAATACATACATGTATGTATATCTTATATATTTTCAAAATATCCAAATGTGCAAATACATACATGTATGTATATGGGGAATTGTTCAAATAAGAATCACCAAAAGCTTAGAAACAAAACTTTCATATCTAGCTAACGTTGTATGTGCGCCCAACAAGAAAGTATACTAATAAAATAATCATTAATTATTACGTTTTCATATTGCTGTTCAAAAAATATATAAATATGACTACCCAGTTCAGTAATATTTGAGTTTAACCGAAACAAAATTAGCTACATGCAAAACTCTTGTTCTAGTTAATTTTACGGTGGCGGTAAGCAAACCCCTTAATTTGAGTTGCAAAGTAATTAAGTGAAAGAGTAAAATATGAGAGCGAGAACGTGGGTATTGTTCCCATGCTTCACGATATTGGCTTCGTTTCTTGAACTACTCTTTTAGGTTAATATAAATTAATGTAGTCGCCTTGGATTACGAGCTCTCTCTTTTATATATATATATATATATTATATATATATATCTAATATATATATATATATATATATTATATATATATAGGTTCAGATGTTTAAAATAATTATCGTGTTATTGTATTCATAAATGTGGACCAATCATTTTAAAAACCTGGATAAGGCTAAAATTATAATCTTAGCTTTTAATGAATTTTGGTAATTAATTATTCAATTCATAAACCTTTTAATTTAGGCAAAATCGTTTACATTTAACCCTTTAAATCCCTAGACAGAAACGAAGGAACAGGCCATGTCGACACGATGGAGCTTCTGTGATAGTTGGGAAATCGCGAGGAGGTGCAGAGGGAAGAAGCATCGGGACAGCACCGATCCAGGGGGCGATCATGGCGGAAGAGGTCGATGTCTGCGACGGACATCACCGACGAGCAATGATGAAGTTCAAATTATCGGAGGAACCGCAGAAGGTCTTAGTCTTCAACGTTTGAATCGCGCCTCCACCGGTGACACTAATCGGCCGTCATCGTCTCTGCCGCCGGCTGTCTCTCCTCCATGTGACGATTCAGTTTTCCCCTGAAAACGATCCAGGCTTGTTTAGGAAAAGATTCCTCTGCAGTTGAAAAGATTCGATTATTGGGTCCGCTCATCGATTCGATTTTTCTGGAGATAAAGATGATAACGCGTGTTCAGCTAGTGACGAACATAGATGCCTTGATTTATGTTGTTGTTGAGCAGCAATTGGTGCGTTTTCTATTTCTTATAATTACTTAAATCATCAGTGGATTATTGTCTAAGATGTGGTTGAATTTTTGTTGAAGTTTGTGTGATTTTGGTTAGTAAAGATGAAATGAATAGGAGATATTTTGCTGCCTTCTTTATCAGATTTGATTGTAGCTCTTAGGCTGCACACCAACTAGTTGATAAAATGCTTGAACCAACCTTTTCAATTTTTATTCAAGCCGTTATTCAGGGTATGCTTAATTTTCCTTTGGGCATGAACTATGAACTATGAACTACGAAGCATGTGTTTTAAAATTAAAATCCAATTTTATCATTCTTTGGTATAAAAATATATTTTTTTTTTAACGAATGGGGGAAATGCCCTTTTTTTTGTTGGTTTGTTGGGTACATAAGGGCAAGAACAAGATTGTTCTTGTATTTCTTTACTGGAATCCATGTAGAATGAAAGGAAACATGGGGTTCATTAAGAGGAAACGTAGAAGAGAGGGGTGAGTGGAATCATGAATTCTAATTCTGTTGGCATTTGTTCACAAATTGTATGAAATCACGAATCCAATTCTGTTGGAATGGAATCATGAATTATAATTCTATTGGAATGGAATCACGAATCCATTTCTCTTTAATGGGTTTTGCGTGACTTTATTTTGGTTTACTTCTTGATGCTTGAATTTTATCTTAGATTGTTGGTTTATAATGATCAAGTGTTGAATACCATTATTTTTGTAGGTACGAAACGAGAGATATCAAAGCAAAACATGGTACATATGAAACTTACAACACTCTACTGGAATGGAATCTTGAATTCTGATTCTGTGAGAATAGAATTTTGAAGATGAACATTGTATGGGATGAAGATGAACAATGACCACCAATCTTCCAAAAAGAATGGATTATTCTACTAGAATAATATACAATATAATGAAAAAATATATATATGTAATAGTCTATTCTGGTAGAATGATTCATATATTGTGTTTTTTGTGTTATTAATAAGTGTAACATTCGCATAGAATAGTATATAAATTTTTTTTCTTTTCTAAGAATGTAATGAAATTTTTTTAACTTGTATCCAAAACTTTGTTCTTCTTCAAGAAGTTCATTAAATCAAAATATATATTGTGTCAGAATGTGTAATTATTGTATGGTTCAATCATATTTGTTATTTTTCAATATATTTATAAACATATTCCGTCAGAATTTTCGAATTAGGAAAATTATCATCCATACAATCAGATTTTTAAAATTAATAGAATCTATTTTCCTTAAAATATGTAATTTTCCTTTTTTAAATTTATGTTAATTGACTAAAATACCCTTAGAATGAAATTAGTTGGTATTTTTTAATTATATTTAATTTAATAATATGTATTATTCACTTTCCAAAATTAAATAAAATGATTGGCCCACAATTATGCATAGAATAATACAATACTTATTTTGAATAGAATAACGTAGGCCTATATATATATATATATATATATATATATATATATATAGTGGCGGATCCAGAAAAAAATATTACCGGGGTCCATCTTATATAAAAAATGAAACAAAAATTTGAAAGTAGAAAAAATCAGAAATTTTGAGATTTTTTGGGAGTTTTTTCTATTAAAAATGTTACAAAAAATAGTTTTTTTCAGCACAAGTGGGTGCCAATAGGTATAATTTCAGCAAAATATGAATTTTTGAGGGACTGGTTTAGTAAAATGGAGGCTAGAATAAACTTTTAAGTGGGGTCCATGGACCCCCCTTCTTACATTGTGGATCCGCCAATGTGTGTGTGTGTGTATATATATATATATATATATATAATATATATATATATATATATATATATATATAGAAGTAAGTTCAAATAAAAACAGTAAGTATTGTGGGAACGTAAACACACTATTTTTATGTTATTATTCTGTAATAATGTTGTATATGTGTATTTTTAAAGTAATTCTAATATGAATATTAACTTTTGATTAGTGATATATTCATTATAATGTTATTATTCTATTATAAACTTATGTATGTTCATTTTGTAGTAAATTTTAATTTTAGTTTTAAACTTTGACTATTCATTTATTTATTGCCGAATAATAACATAAAGCTGTCGATACAAAATTCATTGCTGAATTATAACATAAAAAAGTGTTTTTACGTTCTCACACTATTTACTGTTTTTATTTGAACTATTCCCTATATATATATATATATATATATATATATATATATATATATATATATATATATATATATATATATATAGGGCTATGTTATTTTCTTTTTTACATTTATTGTGTGCTAGAATGCACCAATAGGAATTTAGTAAATTAAATAATTATTTAATTAAATAAATATAGATATTAAATGATTTCCATAATTATATGTATATTAAATGATATCCATAATAATAATTCTTTTTTATGGAAACTAATCAAATCTGTCATTAATATCAGCAATAACATTCTTTCAGAATGAATTCACATCTACGCTTTTATATGAGTTCGTATTTTGTTTCAGGAGTCACTCATTTAAAATACAATAAAGTTGCATTGAATATGAAGAACGAGAGTGTATTCTAGTAGAATACACTCTCATTCTGCTGGAATACACTCTCATTATTGTAGATATGAATTTATTCTGAAAGCATATTATTATTGACATTAATTACGAATTTAATTGGTTTCCATAAAAATGAGTTATAAGTATGGATAACATTTAATATACATATAATTAATACTAAATTTCTATTGGTGCATTGTAGCACACAATAGATGTGACAAATATTTGAACCTACCTATATGTATATATATATATATATATATATATATATATATATATATATAATATATATATAGAGAGAGAGAAAGAGAGATACAAATTCTTTTGAGAACCTAAAGATTTGTGAAACACTTACCAACTCATAATCAATTCATCATTTTTCAACACCAAAAAACACTAATTTTTCTTCAAATAGTGCGTCTAATCCATATCAAAGCTTGAAAAATAAAGATTTGACCATTCTTTTTTTGTTTTTTTTTTTGTAAAATTGCTGACGAACACAATCAGTAGTTGTACAGACTGTTGATGAGCACAATCAACAATCATATAGACTGCTGGTGAGCACAATCAACAGTCATATGGAGTGTTGATTGCTCATCACCAGTCATATAGAGTGTTGATTGCTCTACACCAGTCCATATGATTGTTGATTGTGCACATCCACAATCCATATGACTGCTGATTGTGTTCTTCAACAATCAGCAGTCCATATGAATACTGACTTTGGATACATGAAAATTTCGAAAATATAAAAAAAAATTTGTCAAA